GATGCCAACAGATCGTCCAAACTTTGGTGGGAAAGGACTCAAAGAAGTGAAGCAACAATCATCACACACATCACACACGTCCGTCTGTGTTGCTGCTCACTCACTCGATCAGTCGATCCCCCCCTCCAAACACACACACACACACACACACAATGATGAGACGGGTGGTGTGCTTGACGCGGCGCGTGCCAAGGTCATTTACAGAGGCGTTGCAGCACTACGCGAGCAGCAACGCCACGAACGACGAGGATGCGGCGGAGGCATTGAGGATTGATGTGGACAGGGCAGTGACGGAGCATGCAGCGTATGTGGAGCAGCTGCGGCTCAACCCACACGTGGCGCGCGTCGTTGAGCTGGACGCAGACGAGCGGTTTCCAGACTGCATGTTCATCGAGGACACGGCCGTGGTCGCCAACGGCACCTGCGTCATCACCAACCCTGGGGCGGATTCGAGAAAGGGCGAGGAGGCGGCCACGCTGGCCGCCGTCACCAAACTATTGGAAGAGACAAAGGCACAACAACAACAGCAGCAGCAACAGCAGCAGCAACAGCAGCAGCAACAGCAACAGCAGCACAGTGAGGTCGCGGATCTGCATACGATTCACGTAATGCGTGAGCGGTGGCCAGATGCTACCTGCGACGGCGGGGACGTCCTCACCACGGACAACGCCATGTACGTCGGCGTGTCCACACGAACCAACGAGCTGGGCCACCGCGCATTGCAGGCGGCCTTTGAGCGAGAGACTGGCGTGCATGGTACTGGGAGTTTCCGGGTCGTCCCCATCCACCTAGGTGCAAACTCGTTGCACCTCAAGTCGGTCGTGACGTGGGCGGGCCCTGATCTCGGGTTTGTTGCCGCGGACACGGACGACGGGCGCAGTGCGTGGGCATCCATCACCGCATCGCTGGAAGAGCGTGGGCTGGCGGTCCCACCCGTGGTCTTCACGGCTTTGAATGCCGCGAACATTCTCCGCATAGGCGATTGTTTGTATCACACACAGCGTGGCGACGATAGCCTCTCACGGTTGTGCAAAGGCCCGTCGGGGGAAGTGCGGCCCATCTTTGTTGAGAACTTTGAAGCGCAGAAGGCGGATGGTGCTCTCACCTGCTGCTCCATAGTCATCCCCGTCAGGAGCGCGTGAACGTCACCGAGCAGTGGTGGCGCAACGCTGCGTGTAAGGTGCATGTCTGTCTGTGTGTGTGTGTGTGTGTGTGTGTGTGTGTGTGTGTGTGTGTGTGTGTGCGTGTGTGTGTGCGTGTTGTGTGGGGGGGGGGA